GAAAAGATGAAGATCGGGAAATAGCTATTAGCGTCAGAGGAGGTATGTATGTTTTGGAATACAGTCACATTTCAATTATTATACATTATATATGTATATATATTATTGCTATTTTGAAATAAGTTCTTAAACATATTTGTCCTAAAACAAAAAAACAGTAAATAAAGAAATAGAGCAAACAATTATCTCTTCTAGTTACGACCTTTGTACTCGGCTGCTGTTTGACATAGGTTGCTAACCCTTTAAAACATTTTGCACATGGAGGATATGAAACAAAATATTTTTTTAGGTTTTATATATATACATTAGAATAACTAAAAAATCATAAATTACTACATCAGTACCATAGAATTCCACTATAATTTATCAAGCCTTAGTAACTAAGATGTATTTGAGTCTTAAAAAAATATGAAATTTTGAGCAGACTAAAGACAACCTACCTCCTTGAAATCTTGGTTCAAAACAAAGAAATGGCATCCTAAGTATTTTGTATTTTGAACCATTGCTGTATTCAACATACCACATGATATAAAAATCAATGTTATCTGTGGTTTTTTTAATATTTACTTTTAAATTAAGAAATTGAGTGATGTAATACTACAATTTGAATTATAATCTACAGTTTGATACAAACTTATTGACATAAATTCATGAAATAGTAGTTAAATAAAATTTTGAATGCGAGTCAACAAACGAGATGACATGGCCTTTCACCCGTGACCCATCTTGCTAATTGAAGTTAGACTTAATGATTATTCTGATATACAAGTAATCCAAGTATTGTCATTAGGGTCTCAGGTTTGATTCCCAGTGCCATGAAAAATGCTTGCCTTATCTTTGTTATGACATAGCTATTAAGGCAGTATATCACTCTTCCTAATTTTAAACTGCCGATGAGAGCGGAAGACAACTGGCTAAGCACTTGTCACCAATTTGCTTTTTTTTTCCTCTTATATTAAACTAGTGATCAGAGGGAATACAACTTTTTTTTTCTTTTATGTACCATGTTTGAGAAACACTATAATCATTAATTAATTAATCAAATCTAATTATTAATGGAGATGTTGATTAATCAGTTAGCAACTACCACGATTTTTCAGCTTGAGTCATTCTTGTGTTTTTTATTGCCTGATGATACCATTTTGAAGTGATGAAATTAAAAATTATTTTTAACTTGTGTTTTTATTGTTTAGTTTATGAGGTGCTGCTGTTTTATTTATATGATTCTTGTAATACTTTTGGAGTGAAATGGATTTAAACCTCAAATTACTGAATTATTTTCATACCATTCACTACTGGTAGAATTCATATACTGTGATATTGAGTATGCCTGTTATTACACTCAACATAAAAAATCTTGTCAAAATATTAAATGAAATCATTTACAGAATTGAGGAAAAACATGGCAATTGTACGTTTCACAAATAAATGTATTTGTGAAACTTACAATTGTCTTGTTTTTCCTCAATTCTGTAATTATGGACTTTTACGAAATACCGACAGTTTCAAGTATAGATAATATGAAATTATTTATTTCATATATCAGATACATTGGAGGCCCCGGCATTAAATAGTCAGATTATTCATGATACTGATGAATTTTGTGTGACTTGTATTGTATTAGGGACCTTGTAACCAGCAAGCTTATGGATTCACAAATAATTTTTTATATGAATTATTTTGAAAAATTTGCTTAAAAAGTTAGTTTAACCCATTAATAATTATACCCTTAAAGTTACGAGCTTTACAGTGCTCACATATATTTTCAATATGTAATGATAGTGCAGCACTGGGATTAAACATCTAAATCATAAATTATAAAATCCAATATTTTAAATAATTTTTAATGTTCTAAAGTTATATAATGTGTGTCTTTCAGCAAGAAAAGTATTAGCCAGACAATTCTAGACACCAAATAAAACATGGAAAGATTTACTACATTTATTTTAAAAGGAACTTCATATATAATGTTTATTACATTTTGCTTTTGGAACCTTTTGAATTTTAAAAACTGAAAATATAATGTTTAATGTGATATATATTTTTTCATTATACATATACTTATAGGTTCACATAATATTAAGTGGAGTACTTCTATAAAACCAGTTTTTTTTGTTTTTTTTGCTATATTAGCTTATGTTTTTAAATATTTCAAAGCTTTATTTCTTTGTGTTATAGCTGACACCTTTAGAAAAAGCCAGACTTGATTTATCCATTGGCTACACATTAAATTCTCTCTTCTGGTGTAAGTATGTTTTCCTGCTAATTATTTATTACAGATTATTTTGGTTTCCTCAAATCTTCTCCTGTAAACAGCAATAAAAATATGTGCATAATTTTTAAACTTTGAACATCTTATTTTACCCCTTAGTTTAATATTAGAGCTTGTGAAGTGGTATCACAAAATTTTGTGGATTTATTCTCTACTTCAAGTTTTTCATTGTTAGGCATGGCTGCTCATCATCACAAAGTTGCCACCAGTATCACACTTATGTGATGTCTACTTGCATGTTTCTATGAAATCTGAAAACTTATCAAGCATTGCATGAAAATTCAAAATTTTCATCTCAGTAATACGATCCACAAAAATATTAATGTTATTTGTTCTAAATTACACATTATTTCACCCAGTAAAGTTATTATTAAACTCATTACCTTTAAAGAATTGTTTAATAGAAAGTACTTCAATGTGTAATATAGAATAATAAGCTCTTAGACAAAATTCTTTTTAAATTCTGTTGAAATCTTGAGAAGAATGGTTTACAGTATACATAAATTTTTTTTATACACTAAAGAATCGAAAAAGACTTAATTGAATTATTATTATTCACATTCAACTGTATACCACATATTTGGATTCTTATCCAAATGTTTCAAAAATTCACAATTGTAACTTTGCAACTGAAAAATGGTAAAGGTATTGTCTATATACCCTATACAGTAAAATAGTTTAAAAGTCAACATGATACTGTTTTTTTTTCTTCTAACCAAATCCACCAAACTGTTTTGTCCCTTAGGATATAAATCATTTTCATTATTAGTAACCTATATGATCACCAAAGTCTAATTATTAAGTTAGTAAATTCTTAAATAAATACTAATTACTAATTATTTTTTGTTTTACATTTTGGCTGCCATCTACAGGGAAACCCTGTGAAAAATTGTTTAATTTCTGTGTTGGTAGTGGATAGGATTTTCGTGGGTCTTAATGATGGAAGTCTGATGCATGATGAGCTATTAAAGATAGATCAGTCTTACCAAGTCTTGTTTGTATTATGCTCCTGAACTCTAACTTTTATTGTTTTTTAGTTTTTCACTGTATTAGTATATACATTCACAGGGCATGCTATAAATGGCATTTTTACTCTACATTAGGCCTTTAGATGGTTTGTTCCTTATTAATTGTGATCATATTGATGTGGATTCTGAATACTGTTCATACTTTATGTTTTCAAGTAAACCTTTGACACAGGAGAATATGGCTGTATGTCTGTAATTTTCTTCTAGTTGATTCTCAGTGTTTATCTTTTTCATCAACTGTTCCAGGAATCCATTTAAGGAGAGTTATAATGATATGATTTTTTTTCTCTTTTTTATTTTTTTTAGTATTACAAATCTTGTTTGTTCTTGAACTGTGCATGTTTTTACACTGTTGGAATAGTTTGATTTATAGTCAAGGAGTTTACTTATATTTAATGATATATGTGTGTTTCCTGTAAACTCTTCTGGTTTATGACTTATGTGCATTAGTGGCCATCACATCTAATTGTATTGTGGGATGTTGCCGATTCAGGTGTTTCATGAATTCTTGAATTTTGTCTGTAGTATGTGACCATACTATAGTTGTATCATCAATATATCTGAGCCTAACCTTGAGTTATAGAATGGCTGTTTTAAAGGTGTTTACTTTGAAATGTTTTATGTAGAGATTACTAAAGTACTGGTTAATAGGGGTGACCCCATACCCTAGGCTTTCTTGTTGTTAGAAGTAGGTTGTGTGGACACAGATTATTGTGGAGATTATCAATTGGGTGTGTTCCTAAATAGTTTTATCGTTTTCAAGCTGTTGATGGAGTATTTGTAGTGTGTCAGGGGTCAGTATGTTAGTGAAGAGGATGGACATATTAAAACTGATCATTGTGTCTTGTGAAGTTATCGTGATTGCTTTTATAATCTCCACAAAAATGGTTAAATTATTTACAAGTGAGGATTCTTTTACTTGTTAATCATGTTATTGTATCTATTAGTTATCAGATAAGGGACAACATGGTAAATTACTGCAGTTAATTACGAGCTGGAGAGAGTAGTATTGTCTGTGAATTTTAGGTAAAACCATAGATGTGTGAGGTGTTGTTGTACTGTTAGTTATTTGACTATTTCTGTCCCAAGTTCATTCTGACATTTCTTGAGGAATTTCTTAATTTTTTCCTCTGTGTTAGCAGTTGGTTTAGACTTTATCTTCATGGAGTGGCCATCTAGAGATTGGAGCTTGATGATGTATTCCTATTTGTCCACGATTATAGTGGCATTCCCTATTTCTCCACCAGTAAAATTATTATGATGTTCTTTTTTTCAAGTTTCTGAGAGCAATGTTTTCCCAATAGGAAGATATTAAACTTCTAAAAAGATTTAAGTGAATGTGTAGGCTACAAACCATAACAGTTATTTAGGGCTTTATTTGTGCATTCCATTTGTAGTGTTTATAGCAGAAAAAGAAAGTTACAGATATGTGTATTAAGGCACATGTAAGTTAAAATGATGAACAAATTACATAATATGTAATGTTAAAATGAGTTTCATAAATGTAGAATGTCAAACTTTCAAGTACTTATGCTTGTCAGTTTTATACATACTATATTTGTAGAAAAGAACATCAATAATTTGAATGTAATGTTGCATTGATAATATTGGCTTGCTTTTTTTTTTTAAATGTTGGTACTTCTAAAACATTATTGAATCATCAGTAAACAATTTGACTTTTTTTTTTTCATTCATAGTATACTTAGTTACACAAGGTGTCAATCCAAAAGAACATGCTGTCAAACAAGAATTAGTAAGTATATTTTAGTAGTATATGTTTGGGTTTCTGTAAGGCTAACATAGAAGTTTCAATTACATGCAAATGTTATTTTTTGTCTAATTTTGTGTCAGAACCTTTATTTAAAGCTTAATTTTTTTATTCACTTTGAATATTTTAGCTGAAAATGTCATTTACATACTTTGCATACAAATATGTGTTTACATGTTTGTATAGTAGTAGTTTATTTTCTCAAATTTTTGAAGCAGACATTTTTATGATTAAAAATCTATTTAATCATGAAATGCATCCTTGATTTAATGTTAAATTTTGTTCACAGGACAGAATAAAAGGCTATATGAACAGAGCTAAGGAAATTGCAGATAAAGAAAAGGCACCTAAACTGAACACTGACGTAGCTCAGCGTTTTGTACGTAGTTCTTTATGGGATCCTGAGACTTCGGGTGAGTTGTCTCTCATATCTATCATGGTGTATGGAGATAAAAACATTGAAGTGAAACACAAGTCATAATATTGGTTTTCTAAAAAGAAATGGTGTTGTATATATGCTGATGATAAATTTTAACAAAATTTTAAAGTACCAAACAATGACTTAACTTTATAAACTGGAAATTTATATTCAAGAACCCAATGAAAAAATGGTAACTAAGCCTACATTAGAATACTCATTGAAACTGTAGTTATTTTACTAATTTTAAGTTACCAGAAGGTTAGGAATATTCATATCATATTAATTAAGACTTCTTTAAATGTAAGGATTAGTTTTCAGACCTCAATACTTATCTTGTCTTTAATATTTAATGTTCTATTGTTCAAAGTTTCCAAAGGTGCATGTAATGCAATATCATTGAACTATTTTAGCTAACTATATAGGTTAGAACTGATGGATAAATAACAGCAAAGGTACCCTATTAATGAAACAATGTATTCTAAGCTTTGTAAGTACAGTTTGTTTAATTAGCTATACCCATTATTAGGTTGATTTGATCTAGTATCTTGCACTGATCAAAAGCATATTTATTAACTAAATTAATGAAATTAGTGTTGTATAAAAATATGAATAGAAGTGCTTAACATAATAATGCAGTAGACAAGAGAATTAGAACCTATGATGACTAGAATGCACTGAATCATTATTAAAGTACCCTTGCCGTTAACAATAATTCCAGCTATTGTTTAGATTAGTTATTGTAGATGAAAGGTCAAATTAGTAATCTGTGCTACCCAAGTGAAATATTTCTAAATAATTAGCTAGAATTGGACTGAATTTAATACAATAATTGCATCAAATGATCAGTCACATTGACAAGATTAATCTTGTCGATTAGTTTTGTGTCAGCTAGTTACACATTAGTTTGTTTGTTTTTAATTTAATTGTGCCACTTATGGACCATTTATTAATATTTTTTTAATTATTATTCAGTTATTATGGATGTTCTTATATTAAACAATGAAAAGTTTCATTACAGAAAGTGATTTTAGGAATTGATGAAAACTTTAATTTTCCAAAGCTCTTTGATAAAATACGTTAAAAAATTATATAATTATTCATATCCAGTGCTTTTGTCAATGCTTCCTTCTTTTAGGATAAATTACTATAATGTAGCCTCTTTAAACAAAAGTTGTTTTATTTGTAAAATAATGTATTAGTAGTACTACAATGTTAAAAGGAATCTTATAACACACATGTGGAAATAAAAAATGGATAATGCACTAGTTTTATTGTAGAGTAACTTAAAGTCTGCAAGACTTTCATAGACTAAAGTCCAGTGTTAATATTAATTTGATGTGATAAAACTATAACGCCATGATTAACATGACAGATATTCAGCATTTACTTGTAGCTATTTCCATATTTTATTGTTTGTAAATCATTACATAAATATTTGTGGGTTAGCAAATGAACAATGAAATAACATCATATTAGTTGGCATATTTACTTTTATAGGATTTTATCTAAGTCATTTAAGAGGCCAGAACAGGGTCTCATTCTAATTGTTGTTGTTGGGTTTATTTAATATTTTTAAACATAAAACACACTTTCAAGGAGCACTAAATTTACATGTATATACAGATAAGTGTATGTGTGATGTGTGGTTTTAAATAACATTGGAAGTTAACCTGAAAACATTTATCAAAAGGTTGAACAGATATTATTCAATCATTTCTTCAAAATTCATAACACTACTTTTCTGTACGTAATTTTTCTGAGTACAGAGAGCCTCATATTGTAGTTGTGGGCATATTTCAAACATGGTCTACAATGTTTGATTCTTTCATATTAAGAAGGAAGTTCCTTGCTTTATGGCTGTCATATTAAAATATTTTATCAATTCAGCAGTTCTAACAATCTATAATGCTCACATTACCTTTTAGAGGCACTGTCAGGTTTACTCATTAGTTTTAGTTCTTTCACACATATTTCCTTCTTGTTGGCTTTTCTGATTTACATCCCCACTTCATAAACGTTTTTCTCAATAATTAGGCATTGCTAACATAATATCAGTGAAAACTCATTTTTTCTCATTTTAATCCATTTCTTTATAAACTTCTTATATTGTAAAAGCTTTCATTTATTTCTTATCCCTTATTCACTGTTTGAGTGGTTCTGAGTTGCTAGAGTCTTTTTATATGTGGTCTCTGTTCTTAAACCTGTCATATTATAAAACTTATTCTTTTAACAATTAGCTCTTACTACAGTATTTTGGAGAACCATTAAATCTCCAATTTTTGGTAGCTTATAGATATATGTTGATGATACTGTTTTCCTAGCAGAGTTAAGTTTCTTTATCCACTGAAACTCACCATGGGAATACTTGTTTCACTATTAAAAGGGCACGTCACCTGACCTAAGTATATAAATGTTTTTTTTTAATGAAACAAACATTTTACCATTTCACGACATTCCAAGTAAGCTTGTTTACTCCTCACCACTCATTTGATAGTTTTTTTTAACATATTTTGTACATACAACTAACAAACTGACACTCTTAATCTTTCAAAAAAAAGGAGTTTTCTCATACTGGGATGCAAATAATGGTTGGACATCAGCCAGTGTTTGAAGAAATATCTAGTAAACTGTGACCAAATCATGAGTTTCAACGTCAATGATTCCAGGTCAAACAAATCTTTCTGATTGGGATTTTTTTTTAATTCCTTACCAAGCATATTCTTAAGTAAGCACCTGAATTAGTGCTTATTAGTGATTTGTTCTAAGTTGTCTTAAGTTTCCCATTAGATTTGTGTGTTTTTCTACAGAAGCTCCAGCTAGTGACTTTCTCACAATGTATAAATAACTGTTTAAACTGCTTTATTTACTCTACATTGGCATTGGTTAGAGAAACATATTATAAGTTTAGTTAAAAGTGACCTATAGCTATTTTGAAAGCTGTTTCATTGGTAAGTGTTCATACCAATTACTAGGATGTCATAAGTTAGTAATAATAATAATAATAATAATCAGTGAAAAAAGAAAGAAAATCACATGAGAAACAAGACATGGTAATAGTTTCGTAACAAATATATACCTATGCTTTAAGATGGGCAGAAAAATATAATAAAAAAATCAATGTTTTGTTTACAGGTGAGACTCCTCAGAGCTGCTCAGAAGTGAAAGTTGGGGGTATGTGGAATTATTATATATATCATTGTAGTATTTATATTTTACAGCTTAGTGTATGACTGGGTCAAAGTACACATCACAGAGTTTCATTCAAAACTTAATTAACCAACTTTATTAGCAATTTATGTCAATATAACTGACATTAAAACATAATGTATAATTTAGATGTTTATGTTATTTAAGTTTTTCATTTCTTAATTTCAAAAGGAAAAGCTTAAAAAAATCTCAGTCTTTACTTCTTTGTGTTGTGTAATGTGTTTGTGTTCTAAATTCTCCCTGACAGATGATATATCTTCATCAATATGGCTATCAGAATATACAATCTAGGCATCTAAAATTTGTCTCCCCTAACTTTTTGATTTGCTGAGATATCAGTAAATCTTTCAAACTTCTAAGAGAGGTCCTTCTTCTCTTTGTCTGACATTTTATACTCTTTGCTAATAGTCCTTACATCACTGATAGACATGTTTATCAACCAATGAAAAAAAACATTTTCTTCTCTATAGAAATCTTAAAGATTTCTCATTTAGATTTCCCACATAAACCATTAGTATTTGGTTTCATAGTTCTTTGCTCAAAGGGATTACAGGTTTTATCAAACCTATTTATAGCTTGCTTAGAAACACAGATAAGTTATAGTATTATTGAGACATTCTATTCCAGTGCCCAATATATTTTTGTGTTTTAAGATACATATTTGAAATCTACATGAATTTGTATTTCAACAATTAACTTAGTGAAAAAGATACATGAGGCTTAGCACTCACAAATATAAAGGGTATGACAAATGGCTAGTAGGCTCTCACTATGATTTATTTCTTTTGACAGTGGGTGGTGGTCCAAAGTACAGGTGATAAAACTAGTGTGGAAAAGATAACAGTTGAAATGTAAATATAAGAAAATTGATGATTGTGCTACAGTTAGTGTTAGGGTTGAGAAAATAACAGATAAGATACCAATTTTTACAAAAACAAAATTGATATTCACTGAGGAGGCTCTAGAGGTTATGCAAATAAAATTTTAAAACCATAAGACAAACATAATTATTTGTATTCATAGCATGAAAATCACCCTTCAATCAGATTGTGAATTCACAGACAAATCTTTGGTAGAAATACTTTATTAAAAACACTTTTTTTGTGTAATGTTTACTAAAAGTTTGCCAAATTTCGTGAAGGTAAACATAGAAAATTCAGTGTTATAGTATGAATAATTTCACACTTACAAGGTTGATCAAATTGATCTATTTAATACAGAAAGAGTAAACTAATAATATATTGTTACAATATATACCTAATTGTTTTTTTAGGTTTTGCTTTCTGTAACTTCCTACTATGGACTCCACTGCTAATTTGTAATAAGTGTTGTAAGCCATAAATTTTAGTGTCAAGTTAATTTAGTTACATGGGGACTTAGAAGTAAATTTTACTGGTGTGTTTCCCATTGTCTTAGTAAATTATCGTTAAATTTGCTTATTCTTGTGTAGTGCTTATCTAGGAAATCAGTAACAAAGCATTGGTACAATTATCATATTGCATACTGGTGTACACTGAGTGGTCACAAGTAAATAGACACCTAATTTTTTGTCATTTAACTGATTTATGCTAACTAATTTGTGTTCACAGAGCACTATATAAATGAAAATGGTCTGCACACTAATTATCTTGTGCTACAACATGCCTAGAACTTAAGGTTCTCTCGAATTGTCAGAATTTGTTAGAGGAAGGATAGTTGGTTAAGCAGATGGTGGAATAAGTCAGCGGCAAATTTCGCAGAATTTGGGAATCCCGCTTTCGACAGTCAACAGAATCATCGTGCAGTTCAGGAAACAACTGAGCAACGTCCGGATCGTCCTAGTCCATAGGAGAGGACAAAAAGGGCTGTCAAGAGGAGCATCGAAATGGATCCCAGATCAACGACTGTAGAAGTGACCAAAGTTGGTGGGATGAGCCCGAAATCTGTTCAACGGATTTTCCACAGATTGGGTTATCGTTGCAGAGCAGTTTGAGGGAAGCACTTATTAAGACCTGCCAACATAATCACACGAAAGAAGTAGGCAAGTGATATGATGACCAAGCCTCTGGACTTTTGGAAGACCGTATTGTTCTCAGACGAATCAAGATTCGCTCAATTTTCGGACAGTGAAAGGATATGGGTCTGGAGAATGTCTCACAAAGAGTTTTGGCTCAACAGATTGCAGCCAACTGTGAAGCATGGTGGTTTCAGCGTGATGGTTTGGGGAGCTTAGTGGAGTGCATTGGCAACATAAATTTTGCGAAATACATAGAAATATTGAAGGAAGGACTCTTGCCACTTTATTCCTCGAGTTTCGTGGACAAGAA